TAATATCGTGTATTTCTGGGCCTTTCATAATACAATTGGAACAAACAATTGCGGGTGCTATCGTGCTAGTATCCTCTTCTCAGAAAGCTGCAAGAACTGTAAAAACAGCGGAGAAAGGTCTGAAGAATGCCAGCATAGTACTTGCACAAAGCAGATAAATGTAGTCATGCTCATATCATTAGGTATTCTGGATCCAGATCTTCTCTTGAATCCTAGAAGAGGAAGACTCCAGTCAACTGAAGCATTCAACATTACAAGCAGGTACTATATTCTCAGCATCTGACCAAATATTTTTTCATGGCTGTTCCCTTGTTATTCTTGGTTTTGTTCAAGGATAAATGTAAATAAAAAACTTGTCCCCTTTAGATGAGGTCGACTAGATCATGTAGAGATTCTAAATTCGAGTCTTGCCACCAATTTATGAGATTGAATGCGTCAAATGAATAATTGAATATGACCAGCCCCGTGAGGGGGTGTTGTAAGAAAAGTTAAACAAATAAATATCTTCATTTTCTAATCATTTAATCTTTTAGATAAGACGGTTCAATGGGCTCTACAAATATTTTGACATTAAATCAAAGAGTGTACTCTTCTTCATCAACGACAAGTTGACCTACAATAATGGGATTTGGCTTCTCAATTCCATCAAAGCCTAGCTGGGCTCAGGTTATTTTTTTCACATATAAATCATGTTTTCTATGTTTTTTAAGAGTAACAGTTCTTTCATCTCTTCCACTTTCTGGTCTTTCTTTACTGGCAGTATGTACACCAGCATCGAGCTTCTTGAAGTTCAAATGCAGGTTTTTGCTTGAGCTCTCAGCCTCTCATTAATTTAATTCAAGAGTTGATTAAAAGCTCTGCCAGTTGTACTTTCATACAGCATGAAGGAATTTTATTAAAAAATAAATCAACTTTAACTTTTAAATGAAGTAGTTGGATACGAAGTTTAGTTTGGAAAAGTTCTTAATTTGCAAAAAGGGAACCAAACTCTCTATGTACGTGGTCTTTTTAACGAAAATACAAATCGAGGACTTGTGACACAGAATTGACCAATGATCTCGAAGGGATAGCCTTATCCAACTCATAATCTCTTCAAAAAAATTCAGCATGCCACGTGGCAGTCCAAGATCCACCTCAAAAGGATAAAAAACCAGAACATTTCCACTGAGAGTCAAGAAATCTTGATACACTCACGATTCCTATGGCATCCCTTGCAACATTTGCAGCGGTACAGCCCACCACTGTAAAGGGCCTTGCCGGGAGCTCACTTGCTGGAACTAAGCTCCATGTCAAGCCATCTCGCCTTAGCTTCAAGCCCACAAACTACAGGTTACAATTATTTATTTTGCGCCATAAAGAATTTTAGGGGATTGATTTTGAAGCGTGAGAAAGAAAATCGTGTGCTCCTTTTTTTGATGATTGTGAAACTGTAGCTGCATCAAGTGAACATAGACTACATAGTTCTTGCATTAAGAGCAAGTCACTGTAAAACTTTGTTTGTTTTCGATTTACATTTGAGTTTGAAGAATCCATTCTATGCTGCCAAACTTGTTGGTGGGAAGTGCCTTGTGAAGTTGGGTATTTCTTGATTACTTCTATTACTATGTAGGGCTGGAGCAGTGGTGGCAAAGTATGGAGACAAGAGTGTGTACTTTGACTTGGAGGATTTGGGCAACACCACTGGCCAATGGGACTTGTACGGATCGGATGCACCTTCACCATACAACCCCCTCCAGGTTATATACGTCTCTGCACTTACCAAATTTCAGTTCTTTAATCATGTCAGTGTCGCTCAATTCAATTCAACGTATTAAATATGTCATTTGTGACTACAATAAAAGAGAACCAACTTTTATTACCACGTTGAGTTTTGACTCTTGATATTGGTTTACTATTGCA